TCAAAATAAAAAAATAATAATAATAATTTAGCCCTGGCTGGTTTGGCTCAACGGTTAGTGTGTTGGCCTGCGGTCCTGAGAGATCCGGGTTCGGTTCCTGCTAAGGGCATGTACCTCGGTTGCAGTTTGTCCCCGGCCCTGGTTGGGTCGTGTGGGTGGCAGCCACTTGATGTGTCCCTTTCACGTTGATGTTTCTCTCTCTCTCTCTCTCTCCCTCCCACTCTATCTGAACAAAAAAATGGGAAAATGTCCTCGGGTGAAGATTAAAAAAAAATTTAATTACATTGGCAGAAATGGAGTTTTCAGAAATACATTACTTCTTTCTTTCCCTTTAATAGAGTTTCAAAGTTGAAGCGAAGATAAGCTGTACATTATCTGACTTTTTTTATGTCTGTCTAAATTACTCACCCTAAAACACTGTCATCACATAAACAAAACATCTGTTACTCTTAAAGGTGGTTAATAGGCCACAGAGTTCTGTCTGAGGTCCTCGTCTTGCTGGCCCTTTGTGTGAGCTGCCCTTCCCTCTTGCAGTGACTATTATAGTGACAATCGTTCTAAGCAAGTCTTCTTAAGTGGTGGTCCAAGCAGACAGCATCAGAATCACTGCGGGAGCCTGTTAAGAAGGCAGATTCCCAAGTCCCACTGCAGCTTGCCAGATCACTCTCTGGGGTTGCCTCCCTTCGTTTACATTTTTTTTTTTTTATCCTCACCTGAGAACATTTTTCCACTTTTTGTTCAGATAGAGCGAGAGTGAGAGAGACAGAGAGAAACATCAACGTGAAAGGGACACATCGAGTGGCTGCTTCCTGCACGGCCCTGGTTGGGCCAGGGCCGGGGACAAACTGCAACCAAGATACGTGCCCTTAGCAGGAACCGAACCAGCGTCTCTCTGGACCGCAGGCCAACGCTCTAACTGCTGAGCCAAGCCGGCCAGGGCAACTCTGTTTACATTTTAAACAAGCACCCCAGGTGCTTCTGAGGTAATGGAAAGTGTGGACACCACTATTCAGAAGGCTCCATGAATTGAACTGTATTCATCGCCCCCTGTAGGAGACACAGATGTGATTAAACCCATCTTAACCAGCTCACAAGCTGATAGGGAGGATAACACATACATAGAAATTACTATGACACAAAGTAAAAATTTCAGTGCCATAATAGTAGAGACAGCTACAGTAATTCCCCCTCACTCATGGTTTTGCTTTCTACTATTTCAGTTAGCTGTGCTCAACCTCAATCCAAATATATTAAACAAAAAATTCTAGAAATAACAGAAGTTTTCAATTGCATGCTGTTCTGAGTAGCGTGATGAATCTCCTGCAGTCCCCCTCCATCCCTTCTGGCACATGAATCATCCCTTTGTCCTCCTCGCTGTAGATACTCTCCACTAAGTCGACAGTGATCAGATCTGCTGTCCAGGTATCACAGTCCCTGTGTTCAGGTAACCCTTACTTACTTCATAATGGCCCCAAAGCTACTCACATAATCTTTATTACAGTGTGTATTGTTATAATTATTTTATTATTAGTTATCTCTTACTATGTCTAATTTATAAATTCAGCCATATCATAGGTATGGGTGTGTAGCAAAACAAATAGTATGTGTCAGGTTCAGTATTATCTGTGGTTTCAGGCATCCACTGGGGATCTTGGAACATATTCCCTGAGGAGAAAGGGGGACTACTGTACTTACAGTAGCAAAGTCAGAGAATCTTTTAGACCTTTTTGTTTTGTTTCATGTACATTTGGGTGATCATTCAGCATATATAAAGGCCTGCAGTTTGCTTCTCTTCTTGACTGGTTCACTGAACAGGTTGCAGAATTCCATAATTTTTACAGAAGAAGGCAAAGCTATCATTATTAGCGCTGTTGCATCTAAAAATGGGGACAGTTTTGCTTCTTGTAATTACCAAGCACACTGAGCCCTCGTTTTTATTTTTGAATTGGAGATGACTAGCATTTATGTGACACAGAGCCATGTATATTAAGGGCTTCCTCTTCATTGTGGCTGTGCTCAGAACTTGTGTCCCAAGTGTTTGTGACATGTTCACTTCTGTTTACAGAAACTCACTGTTCCCCTCATCATGGTTGGTTTCTAGACCACCTATGATTATTAATCCTAAAAATAAGTAAGAAAAGAAATAGGCCAATAGCAAACAATAGAAGAAGAAGAGAACCAACATTGACTAACCACTAGTGCCCAGCACTGTGCCAGGCAGACTTAGAGAGAGTAAGTAAATGCACCAGTCCACACAACTGCTGAGCCAGGAAAACAGATTGTAGACCATCGGCGAGCTGGTGGCTCTTATCAGCAAGTATCTTGTTAACTAACTGGCAGACATCTGAGTACCTGCTGCTTTGGCACTGCAGGGACACAGATGAACACAGTGCCAGGTTTTGGGGAGTGTACAGTCTAATGGGAGACCAGAGATTTCCACAGGCCACCAGTACAGGAGGTGAAGGGCACTGACGTTGGCACTGACCGTGCTGTACCTTTTCAGTCTGTTATCTCATTTAACCTTCACACCAAGTCTGCACAATGGCTGGAATCTCTGTAATACAGACGAGGAAATTGTGGTTGAGAGAAAGCAAATGACCCGGGGTTTCCAACCAGGACGTAGCAGGGTTTGGATTTGCGTCCAAGTCTAGGACTACCACACCTCTGTCTTCCTTGGGAATTCCAGGGCCAGACCTCATTCTGACAAGGCATGTCGCAGCTCTCAGGAGGAGTATTTGATGCATTCTACCTGGATATTTAAGAACCTGTAGGGTTCTGGCCAATTTGGCTCAGTGGTTGGAGCCTCAGCCCTCAGACCAAAGGGTTGCGGGTTTGATTACAGGTCAAGGGCATGTGCCTGCACATTTGAGCCCTGGCCCCCATCAGGGTTGTACAGGAGGCAACCAGTCGATATGTATCTCTCACATTGATGTTTCTCTCCCCTTCCTCCCTTCCATGCTATCTTAAAAAAAAAAACAAAAAATCAATGGAAAAATATCCCCAGGTGAGGACTAACCAAAAACAAGTAGGATGTCGATAGAAAATTCTAGCAGTGCCCATTACTGGTGACAGGATCCAAGGCACAGAGGAAGACAAGGCAAGTGTATGGACTTGGCCATTTCCAGGTAGCATTCCAGATGTGGAACCCATCGTGAGAGTGACTGGGCAGGAGGGCCCCAGGGAGGTCTTGTCGTACCTCAAGCTTTAGCCAAGGATGATGAGACTCGCAGGGCGAAGTTACAGAAATATCTGTGCAAAAATGAATAAAGCGCTAACTCATTGGATGTTGCAGGGGAGGAGAGAAAGGGGGGAAGTCCACATTAATCAAAGCCAATTAAAAGAGTCACTGGGTTGTGCTGTGAATACAAATGAAAGAATCCATTAGAGCACAGGTAATGCGGAAAATAGTATTCAGCTTTACCTTGCCTGTGAACTCACCTTGTTTTCCCAGTGGTTACTTTCTGTGGAATATGTTCGATAACTTCAGTTTTCTAACATAAAGTTATGCCTCAGTTTTCTAGGATCTCTCTTTAACTGTTTAAAACAAGTACAGAAAATGTGATCTCTGTTGGCAAACACACGAACATGTACCTATGAAAGGACTAGAAAATGTGATTAACTTTGTTATTCTTCAAATTTTACACAAGGATGTTTACTTCTGTAATCAGGAAAAAATATAACTTAAAAAGACAAATAACCTAAGTGTTTATTTCATGGACCATTTACAAATTCCTTCAGAATACCTAACTAGACATTGTGTTCACTATACTGTCTACCAAAATTGTTTTCCAGTAACTTTTTGGGAGAAGTTCATTGCTTCATTTTCTGCTTACATAGAATTATTTTAATTTTAAAATTAACTTAGAGAGAGAGAGAGAGAGTAATCCTCACTGGAGGGTATTTTTCTATTGATTTTTAGATAGAGTGGAAGGTAGGGATGGAGGGAGAGAGAGAGAGAAACATCCATATGAGAGAGACACACTGATTGGTTGCCTCCCATATGACCCTGACTGGGGCCGGGGATCAAACCTGTAATCCAGGTACTTGGCCTTGACCAGGAATCAAACCCATAATCCTTCTGTCCAAAGGCCGACGATCTAACTGCTGAGCCAAACCAGCCAGGGCTGAAGTATATATTTTTATTTTTAAAAATTTGTGGTTTTTAATTGGTAGGGACATTTTCACTCTTCTATACTTTTTTATAATGTTGATGTTCAAATGCTTAAAATAATTGATCAAGGAAGAAGGGTAAAGTAGTATCTGTTTTTATTTGGTAATATACTTGAATATTTTATTGACCTAATTGAGCCATTGTACATGTTATGGCTGGTATTACTCTTTAATTATAGTGCAGTCAGTCCCCATGCTAAGTACTTTGCAGTTAGATTTTGTTTTCCATTTTACTTTTATAAAGTTTTCTTTAAAATATTTTAGTTTTAGAAGGAAAAAAATATCTGAAAACCTTTGTGTCCCCTTGATACTCTCCAACTTTAAAAATGAATGATGACAGCCCGACCGGTGTGGCTCAGTGGATTGAGCTTTGTCCCATGGACTGAGAGTCCCGGTTCGGTTCCCAGTGAGGGCATGTGCCCGGGTTTTGGACTCGATCCCCAGCAGGATGTGTGTAGGAGGCAGCCAATCGATGTTTCTCCTATTTATGTTTCTGTCTTTCCCTTCCTCTCTCTAAAAAATTAATAAAAGCATATTTTAAAAAAATGAATGATAACATATTAAAATAAATGTCGGTCTTAAGAACCAAGTTGTTTGAATTTCAGTTTGTAATACATTTTCACTTTGGTTATAAGAATCTTTAAAGGCAACTTCAAGATGAAAATTCTGATATAACTAAGTTATTTTTATGTTAAAAACTATTTGTCAGATACTAGTGTTAATTTCTTTATCTTGAACTAACACAAATTAAAATTAGAATTTGGATTGTACTTTAGTTGTTCATGTTACCATATGCAGAATTAATGGATTTTCTTTTCTTTACTGTTTAGGAAATACCAACTAGGAACCAGAGTCCGGCTGCGGCTATTAGATCTTGAACTCACGTCTAGGTTCCTGGGAGCAACAACAGACACAACTATACTAGAGGCTGATGCAGTTCTCTTAGGACTCCAGGAGAGTAGAGACCACAAATCCAAAGAGGAGCATCATGAGAAATGAATGAACTCTGCTTAGTGTATTTGCTTCTTCTTTGTATCACCCAGATGGTCATCAAGGATACAATGAGAAAACTGTGATAAAATGATTGAAAGAAGACATAATGAAAGTTATAATTATAGCTCTTTATTTGTTAGACTTTTCCTTAGCTGTGTCTCTCTTCCCTTTTTTTGTACCATTTTCCCCATGTTTGGGATAGTGTAACCCGTGCTGAGAAAGTCTGTGATTGAATAAATAGTTTTGAGTACTCACTGTGTGCACGGCACTGTTCTTAACACCCAGAAACAGCAGTAAGCACATTAGACAGAATCACCTGTCCTGGAACTTACCTTCCACTAGGGGGAAATAGACAATAAATAAGTGAAAAATATAGTATATTAGTTAGTGACATGTGCTAAGGGCAAAAATAAAGAAGGGAGGGTTGAGGATCTGAATAGACATTTTTCCAAAGAGGACATACAGATGGCCAGGAGGTCCATGGGAAGGTGCTTAACATCCTAGAAATGCAAATCAAAACCACAATGATATATCACCTCACACCTGTTGGAATGGCTGTTATCAAAAAGACAAGAAATAACAAGTGTCTGTGAGGATGTGGAGACAAGGGACCCCTGTGCACTACTGGTGGGAATGTTGGTTGGTACAGCCACTATGGAAAACAGTATGGAGATTCCTCAAAAAATTAAAATAGAGCTATCAGCATTCCACTACGGGTATTTTGCTGAGGTAAATGAAAATCCTAACTCAAAAACATGTATGCACCCCCATGTTCATTGCAGAATTATTTACAATAGCCAAGATATGGAAACAACCTGAGTTGCTAGATGAATAAAGAAGATGTGCCAAACATAAATTGGAATATTGGCCATAAAAAGAAAATCTTGCTACTTGTGACAACATGGATGGACCTTGAGGACATTATGCTAAGTGAAATAAGTTGGACAGAGAAAGATATGTACTGTATGATCTCACTTATATGTGGGATCTAACAAAAAGAAAAGAAAAACGAGCAAATGGATATAGAGAATAGATTGATGGAGGGGTAAGGAGGATGAAATGGGTGAAGGGGGTTAAAAAGCATATGTTTTCAGCTATAAAATAAGTCAGTCATGTGATGTGATGTACAGCATGGTGACCAGTTAATGATACTATATTGTGTATTTGCAAATTGCTCAGAGAATAGATCCTGAAAGTTCTTATTACAAGAAAAATTTGTTACTAAGTATGGTGACCGATATTAACTACACTTATTGTGGTCATGTTGCAATATATAAAAATATGCACTCATGTTGTATATCTGACACTAATATAATGTTGTATGTCAATTATATTTAAAAAATTAAAGCAGGGACTGGGGATATGTGAGTCAGATTGACAGATTGAAATATAGGTGTGTCAATGGAAGGCCTCACAGAATTCACTTCTTTTATGTTAAAGATTTTGTTTATTTTTCCACTGGTATAGTATTTAGAAAAAATAAGATCTTATTATTATTATTGAAGTATAATTATGACATTCTACTAGTTTCAGGTCCACACCATAAGGACTTGATATTTGTGAAATGATCACAGTAAGCTGAGGTAACATTCGTCACCATATGTAGTTACCAGCAATTCACTTTAGAATAATATCTGAAGGAAACGAGGGAGCCAGCCACATGAGTCTCTGGGGAAAGCGTATTCTAACAGAGGAATGGCTAGTGCAAAAGCCCTGAGGCAGGACTGTGCCTGTCCCGTTAAGGGAACAGGGTGGAAGCTCACATAGCTGAGTGGAAGAGGAGTAGTATATGAGCCCGAAGAAGCGGGGAGACCGTGCAGATCCATATGGACTTAGGCCTTTATATACTCTGAGATGGAGCATCATTGGTGGATTCTGAGCAGAGGAGGGATGTGAGCTGACTGGCAGTTTGGCAGGATCCCTTGAGCAGACCAGCTGAGTAGACCGAACATGAACTTGGGCAGCAGCAAGAACTGTAGAAGACTTGTGATCCAGGGGAGAGATGATGGCAGGTGGGACCAGTCATAGCAGTCGGGGGTAGGAAGTGGTTGCTATCTGGATATATTTTGAAGGTAGCGACAGAGGTATTTCCTAAAACTGGATAAGGAGTATGTGATCAAGAGAAGAGTGAGGGGTGACACCAAGGTTTTTGGCTCACAGAACTGAGCATTGACTTTCCCTTAACAGGATAGGAAAGGACAGGTTTGAGGGCCTATGACGAGTCCGTTTTGGACATGTTAAATTTGAGATGGCTTTTAGCCATCTAAGTGGAGATGTTCTAAAGGCAGTTGGATGTATAGGTCTGGAGTTCATGGGAGAGGTCTGGGTAAAAGATAAAACCTTACAAGTCACAAACATTTTATCATACTCCACCAATTATGTAGGTCAAGAGCCCCAGAGCAAAGACTGCTATTAGAAGAGTCCCATTAGGCAGGAATGGCCCATTGCTGGTTGTCCCGCCAAGCTCCGTCACTGGAGCCGCCCGGGAAGTACCCCTAAGCTTAGCACACACAGTGGTGGCTACTGCAGATACAGCCACCAGAGGCTGTCTACGAGCAATCTCCTGGAATCACACTGTCTCCTGTTAAACCGCATTATTGAGGTATGATTGACATGTAAATGCTTTACATATTTAATGTGCACAACTCAAGGAGTTTGAAGATAAGTTTACAGCCATGAAACCACCACCATGTCAAGGTCATAGACATATCCATCACTTCCCAATGTCTCCTCCCTAACCTTTTTATTAAGGAGATTTTTTTTTTTTTGAGACAGAGATTGCTACAAAAGTGACATTCCCTCAACATGGCTATATTCTGTTGGTTAGTGGCATGTTAAGGAGAGAGGACTAACACAAGGCCATGAATATCAAGAGGTGGGGACTATTGGGGTCATCATTTGTAGGGTGTCTGCTGGACGTGTGTAGAAGGCAGATAATTTTCTGTTCAGTTTCTAGGTCTCTGGGTCAGAAGTAGCAGGATTAGGACCTGATAGAAATCCCAAGATCTGGACTTCAGGCAAATGCCATGATTGGATGAGGCTTGGGGGTGGGGCTTATAGGATGTGAGTCAGTTTTGCATTCAGGAGGGATGTGAACAGTTGTAACCAAGAGGACATCTGTGATAGATTGAATTTTCATCCCAGTCCTTTACTCCCCTGTAGTGGAACCCTTGCTGTAGTCTCATTACGATGGACGGGGCGAGAACCCTTGCCGTTGAGGAACGTATTGTTTCTGTAATTCGTATAAGCCAAAGATACAAGTTCAGGAAACATTTAGATGACTCTGGGAATGGTAGATCCAGATTTGGGTATTAAAGGAAACCAGGGGGTTTGAAACCAATCCCAAAACTTCTGAGGCCAGCATGAATGGACTACTATGAGACTCTGAAACCACAGGCTGGCTAGACCATTGGGCTGACCCAGTATTGCATTACTTATATTCATATCATTTGGTTTTTAAAAATAAATACACATTTTAGTATAAATTCCTTACAGAAGCATGTAGTTTGTTTGAAAAGACCCCTTTCCCCATGTTTCTTTTAAACTAATTACAAAGAACTCGCATGTTCTGAGCCAAAGGATATAGGAAACGGGATGAGCAAATGTGTCCTATTCTACATTCCCACACCTGCATTCTACGTGTGGGAAATAGAAATGGGATTTTGAATGTAGCCTCCAGGTAAGAAATTGTACGGGCCCTAAAATCATCCTGTGGACAGATGAAATCTTTAGAAACCAAAAAAATGGCTCAGATTACTACCATTTGCTTCACAAAATTGCCTACTTGAAAAACAGCCCCCACTCTTTTGCCATACTCTATAAGTCTCAAATCATTATGGTTTGGGGGAAATGCACATGAGACTGTGATAGCAATAATTATTTCAAATGAATGAATAAAAGAAAGCAAGATACTGTGTTTTTTCCAGGCAACATTTAAACGCAGAATCTTTCATTTCAGATGCAGTAAATACCACAGAAGCCAGTAGATCAAGATGATGTCCCAACTCCCCAAACCATACTAAAAGGAGTGGGAATTCCACTCAGGCGGGCAACTGAGACCAGGATTGTGGGTAAATGTTGCGAGCTTATTGGTCAGAAATAATGGTATGTCTCAGTTATGTAGCTGCATAACTATCTCTTAGACATATTTAGTGATGCCCAGTATACTAGTAAATTTCCAAAATAGAACCACAAAATGGATGACAATTTAGGTAATCCCATGCCTGTAATTTTGTTTAAAAAAAAAAAAATTTCTGGTGCATTAGTCATTTCTATCTTTGATAACACCTTTCCCTTTCCCACTCACCCTCTGGTGCAGGAGTTAACACAATTTGAATTGACTAATGGACCAGAAAAAGTCCTGGAGAACCTACCAAGTGGCTATTATAATCAGCCGCCACGTAATCCAGCTTGAATGTACCTGATAGGTGTGGAGCAAGAACTAGAAAAGCCAGAAAAGACCTTATTCCACAAAGGACAAGAAAGAGTGATTATAAAGTTGGATCCTCGCCCAGTCATTGTGGCTCAGTGGATTGAGCATCGTCCCATGGACTAAGAGGCCCGGGTTCAATTCCTGGACAAGGCACATGCCGGGGTTTCGGGCTTGATCCCCAGTGGGAAGCACTCGAGAGGCAGCTGATCTATGTTTCTCACATTGATGATCCTATCTCTTCTTACCTCTCTCTCTAAAAAATCAATAAAAACATAGTATAAAATAAAATAAAAAAAAGTTGGATCCTCTGGCAAACCAGAAATTAAAGTCTCAGTCACGTGAGGTAAGTTAACTTCTCAATAGTTCTCCAAGCCTGCCTGTCGTGAATGTTTCTGTGTGAACTGCATGGCCACTTGAGAAACCATAATGTGCAAGGAAGCCTGCAAAGCTCCCATGGTTATTAAGGGAAACAGACACAGAACTCACCTATTGTGAAGAACTTGAGCGAATTAGATAAGGCTTGCGCATCCTTAGAGGACCCTGGGGTGTGTTTTGGCTTTGTTCCTGCCCTCCTGTCCTGCCCCGAGACAGAAACCAGCCCCTGCTGTCTCCAGATGCACCCTCACGCTATCTAGACAGCTCCAAGTCAAGGCCCAGGAAGTGAGGCCCCAGCCAAGTTGGCTGTTTCCTCT